GGCGCAGTTTGGCCGACGCCTCAAAGTAGGCCACATGGTGGGAGGCGCTGAAGGCGGAGGCTTCCGATCGGGGAACCTGGGGGAGGGACACAAGGAAGAGTCAGGTCCCTACACTCAGGACGGGTCCTGGAGAGGTGGGAAGAACACAGACACACTGTACTCTAACAGGGGTTACATACTGTGGGGGCTCAAGTGAAGAGGGAAATTCCAGGGAGATCATGGAGATGCCAAGGGGGCTGGCTGGGTGCCATCTAAGTAAGGAGTCAGGGAAGGCTCCACAGACCTTGGCCCATAACTGAGTTGCCGGGCAGAGAAGTCAGGATGTTTCCAGCAGGGGCCCCAGTAAAGTTCCAAAGGCTGGAAATCCCCAAAGGCTTAATCTGAAAAATGAGTTCTATGTGGAAATCACGTAGTCTGTGTGGACAGGGAAGTGGTGAGAGCAGATGAAGGAAGGGAGAAGAGCATGGTTGACATCAAGGGCCAGGTGGCAGAGCTGGGGTGCTGGGGAGCCATGGGAAGGCTGGGAGCCGGAGAGGGGCAACAGGAGGCAGGGTTGACCAGAGGGGAGAAACAGGAAGCTGGGTGAGGGTCCAGGTGGCATCAAGAGGAGGGGACGGGACAGAAAGTTGGGGCTGGTTGACCATGGGGGAGGTGCTGTTTTTTCCATCCAGCCACCCCTCCTGAGAACTCCTGTGTACAATGCTGGGGACTTAGGGGCAACACATCTAGTGGGGTGTATGACAGTGGACCTCAGGGCCTGACAAGAGGAGATGCAGGTGAGCACTAGAAGGAGTCTCCCAGACAGATGGGGTGGGATGGGATTGGGGGGGTGGTCCCAGACCTGGCGCTGTGTCTCCAGATCTGCCTTGTTCCCGACTAACACGATGGGGAAGTCATCTCTGTCCTTGACTCTGAGGATCTGCGTGAAGAGCTTGCTCACCTCGTTGAAACTGCAGATGAAGCCAGAGGCGTGAGATCCAGCCAGCCGCTCAGCCCCAGTCCCCTCTGCTTCCTTTGCTCCACTGCCCGCAACCACTCTCACCTCTGCCGGTCATTAATGGCAAACACCAGCAGGAAGCCGTGGCCCGCGCGCATGTACTGCTCCCTCATGGCACCAAACTCCTCCTGGCCTGCGGTGTCCAGGACTGCGGGGGGGGAAGGGACGCCCATGGGGACAAGGCACACACCAACCACCCCCATGAGCCCTCAGCCTCGCCACCATCCTCCCCCACCATCTCCCCTGCTGCCCTCACTGTCAAGCCGGGCCGGGACGCCATCCACTGTGCAGATCTTCGTGTAGGAGTCTTCAATAGTGGGATCGTAGTCAGACACGAAGTAGGACTGGTGAGATCGGGAGAGGACACCATCACTGCAGTGTCCCAGCAGAGATGATGGAGCCCCGCCTCTAGGCCCTGCCTTTCTCAGCCTCCCTCTTTCTGGGTCTTTTTCTCTCTTTGGATCTGTCTCTGTCTGGGTCTTTGTCCCTTTCTCCAACCCTCCCCAGTCTCCTCTCTCTGGGTGTCTGCTGGTCTTCTCTCTTTTTCTGGCATAAAGTACATTTCCTGTACTGTGATTACATTCTGGCTGTGTGGCATTGAACAAATCACTTCCCCTCTCTGAACCTTGGTTTTCTCATTTGGAAGATGATAAAAATAGCACTGTGGTGAATCCAGTGTTTGTGAGTTTCAGGGAGAACCCCTATTAAGCAATTAACATATCACCTGGGCATAGTGGGCGCTCAGTTACTGGGAGCTGTTGTTGTCCTGTCTATAGCTCTCCCTCCTCCTTTTCCTCTTCCCTCTTTTTTTATTCTTCCCCCTTTTCTCCTCCTCCTCCCCCTCCTCCTCCTTCTCCTCTGGCAGCTTCCAGTGTCTCCTCCCAGGGGAAGGTCCTGGTTCCAATCCGGCTGCAGAGAAGCTGCCCCGCCTGCAGGCTGAGCCCCTCCCTTCCTGCCTGGGTCCTGCCCGCCTCCAGCCAGGCCTTGGGCCAGCTCTGGGTCTGCCCCTGGGTGCAAGGGGCCCAGGATAGGGGCCTTTCTCTACACAGACAGGGCCTCCCATGCAGGTGCTGGCTGGGGTCTCTTGAGGGATCTGGAGCCCTGGGGGCCTCTGTGGCATTTTAGGAGCAGATATCTTTCTAGGGTTTTTCTTAGGTGGGAGGGTTTCCCTTGGGAATGGGCTGGAAGTTTCCCGGGCAGGGGTGGATTTTCAGGAGAGAAGGGGTGATGTAGCAGCTGGGGGTCTGAAGGCTGCATCCTGCCTGTTGGGATGGGGGCACTTGGTGAGGGCTTGTCCTGGAGGGAGGGTATAGGGACCTACCCCTGGGGGATTAGGGCTGTGTCTGCAGAGTACATCAGGAGCAGCTCGGGTGAGATCTGCAGGCTCTGGCGCACTTGGGAGGTTAGTCATAGAATATAGGTGCATGTCTAGAAAGTCTTAGAGACCCTAAGATGCATTTAAGAGATCAGAGAAACTCCCGAGGAACTTGTCTTTCTAGGGATGTCGAGAATCTGGGGACTTCTTCCATGGAGATGCTTTGGGGGCTAGCCAGAGTTTCTGAGGGGCTCAGGGGATTGGAGTGGAGGAAAACTCAAGGTGGAGAAGTGGTTGGTTTTCCCTGGAAGAGGGTGGGGGTGTGGGTCTGGCAGAGGGGGTATCCCCAGAACTTGGGGTCTTAAGAGTTCTCTAGAATGGCCAAGGGGCAAGGTCTTTTTAAAATCTCTGGTCTGAGGGTGACTCTCTCAGGACTGGGTGGTCCCAGATGGGCCTCAGGGGCAAAGTCTGGGCATAATTTCTAGTTTATGGGGAAGGTCCCTGAAAGGCCTAAGCATCCAGACTGAGGGAATCTCCAGGGCATTGGGCACAGGTATTCTCTGGGTTAGGTTCTGGGTGGCTCAGAGGGGAAGCTGGGGCCTGGTATTTGGGGGAGATGGGGGGAGGTGGCATCTAGAGGGGTGGGGGCCCATAAGAGTGCTTAGGATCTGAATGGAGTGCCTCGTCTGGATTTAGGATGCTCCCTGGAGGCACCCAGGGTCAGGTTAGTAGGATAGTGGGGTTTTGGGTACTGGAGGTAGGGGTGGTGGGTCTCAGGACACAAGTACAGAAGGAATGCCCCTCATGTAGGGGGGTGGAGGCCCTAGGGGTTCAGGGTCCCAAATTAGGGGATTTTTTTTAAGATTACAAGGCCTCATAGGAAGGTCTTAGTGATAGATCGAGGGGTAATCTGAGTTTCAGGGATCCCCCAAAGGGCTCAGTTCTAGGTCCCGGGGGCACCCCCCCGGGTGAGGGCCCGCTACCTGGATGAACTGGATGGTCAGCGCGCTCTTGCCCACGCCGCCGCCGCCCACGACCACCAGCTTGTGTGTCTCGTTGGGTGGGGGGTCCCCGGGCCCCGGCCCCCCGCCCCGGGGCCGCCCCCGCCCCGTCCCGGACGCCGCCCCGGTGCTCATGTCGCCACCGCTGCTGCTGCTGCCGCTACCGCCTGAGGGGGAACCGGGAGGGGCCTAGGGGCGGGCCACGCTAATAAGGCTACTGCATAATCATAAGCTCCAGCAAGAAGGGCTCGAGTCCCGGGACACTTGAGGAGGCAAGGCCGGGGAAGAGGAGGAGCTATGCTAATAAGGGCAGGGAAACAGCTTTCGCCGAGAAGGGGAATTCCGAACGGGGCGGTGACATGCTAATAAGAGAACTGTGCTCACCTCGAACGGCGCCACGCGCTCTTGGAGGGCGGGTCATCTGGGGGCGGGGATATGCTAATAAGAGCTTATCTTCTCTTGGGAAGCTCGTTCGGGGGCGGGGATATGCAAATAAGGAGCCCTGTGATGCAGTTTCCCAGGGCACCATCCCAGAGGCCTTGTTCTAGCCAGGCGGGGCTCGCGGACTCGCGTGCGGCCGTATATAGGCGCACTCTGAGGAAGGGGCAAGTCCTGAGGGAAAGCTCAGTCTCCGTCCTGGGATCCTAGCCAAGCTCCCGACCTGGGCGTCTGGGCTGGATGCTGGAGGTTCCGCCCGCTAAGGGACCCAGGCTTCCGGTTCCCGCTGTCCCAGCCAAGCGGAAGACAGAGTGGGAGGGGAGATGGGGCCTTGGAGGGGGACCGCGAGTAATCGGGCAGGGAGGGGCCGTGAGATCATTGCATTCCTAATCCATGAGCCGGCTCGCCCAAGCCGGGACGCTTGGGTTATGAAGGGTCTAGGGTCAAGATTTCTGGGTCTTGAAGGAGGAGGAAGTTGAGGGCCCAGACCCCTGGGTCCCTAGGAAATAATAGGGCTGGAGGTTTGGACTCCTGGGTCCCGGGAAGGAGGAGAACTGGGGGTCCTCACTACTAGGTTCGGCAAAGGGAGCTGAGGGCCCGGACTCTTGAGTCCAGGCGTTGAAGAGGCTGGGGACCCAAAATTCTGGATCCCAGGGAATTGGGGTGGGGAACCCGAACACTTGTGTCAGTGTAAGATACGAGCTTGAGACCAGTCTGAGAAAGGACTGAGGGCCCGATTCCTGGATCTAAGAGGAAGGAGGGTTCGGACTTCTGAGTCCCAAGGAAGAGGGAAATGGGAGTCCAGACTCCTCTGCTCTGAGTGAGAGGAATTAGAATTCGGATTTTTCTGTCCTAAATGAGGAGGAAGCTACAGAGCCGGGTCCTTGGTTCTAAATATAGAGAGAACTTGGGTATTGGGATTCTGGGATCCCCAGAATGTGGGCGGGACAACTCGCAGCCAGTCCGGCCTTTGCCGTCCACTCCGCGGAACTACAACTCCCTTGTATCTGTCACGCTGAGCGCTCTTTCCGTCACTTCCTCTTCCGCCGCTCTTTCCGCGCGCGTGCGGGGCACTATGGGGCCTAATCGCGGGCTACCGCAACCCCGCCCATTTCACTCCTCACCCCCTACTCGCTGTCCCCGCGCGGCGGAGGCGACGCGCAGACTACGCCTCCCGGCGTGCGTCGCGCGCACCCTGCCCACGTGCCCCGTTGACTGCTGGGAAACTGAGTCCGAAGCCTTCCCACTAGCCTTCACGGCACCGTGCTCAGTACTTGAAGTCCCGGCAAGCTCGGCGGCGTTTTAACTCCGCCTCTCTCCTCCCTCTGCTCGCGAGTCCCGCCCCAGCCTGCCCCGCCCCGCGCCGGGGCCGGAGCCGCAGCCCGAGCGGCGGGGTAAGATGGCGGCGGCGGTCCGGGCCGCGGGGTTCGGGCCTATTGGGGTGGGCGGGGCGGAGTCGGGTCGCTACTTGTCCCGGGGTCCTCCCGACACGCCGCGGGGCTTGGAGGGCTTAGCGGGGCGGCCTCGAGCCCGGTAGCGGCGGTGGAGCCTGGGGCCGACCCGGGGGGCCTTCTCAAGGCCCCGGGACGCGTCTGTGGTGCCGGGGGGCGTCTATGGGGCGTCCCTGAGAGGACGAGGGGCGTCCACAGGGCCTGGACCGAGGCTGAAGTCTGCCCTCTATCATATAGTTGGCTTGAATCATTTTTGTAGGCACTGTTGATCGTCTTTATGGGCTGGCCGGAGGCTAGGGTCTGTTTAGAGGGTTCTGGGGCCATCTTGAGATCTTGAGATATGTCCCAGGGGTGAAGGAGATCTGCAAGAGCTGGGGAGTATCTGCAGAGCCAACTATAGCGCCTGGGGTATGTCTGTTAGGGCTGGGAAGTGTCTACATGGGCTGACCTGAGGATGCGGTTCACCTCCCTGCATCTGGGGCCGTTTAGTTGGGTCTGGAGGAACTGTTCCAGGGCTGGGAAGTCTTTTATAGCTACCCAGAAGAGTGGGATGTACCCACTAGGGGAGGGGGCAAATATTGAGATGTGCTGAGAGGCCTGGATGGGTCACCATCTGTCTGGGGACTGTCTAATCTGTGTGACAGGAGGCTGGGCGACAGTTAGAAGGACCTGGAACCCTCTAGGTGGCTTGAAGTATGACTGCAAGAGTGCACTCTCTGCCTGGAGCAAATTCAGATGCCTTTGGGGACTGGCTAATTGTGTGGAGAATAAAACAAAGGAGAGTGTTGGAAGATTTGTCCAGCTCAAAGTACCTGCCTTTTAGAGAGTAATTCGAATGCAAAATGTTTAAAACCTCTGCATGGCCCTGAGGCTACAGAGTGAGTTAGAATTAGTCCACATTCGTCTGGGAAAGTCTATAGGGTCATCTAGACTCATCTAGTGCAGCGTTTTTCAAACACTTTTGACCTTGATCTACAGTGAGAAATACATTTTTCATTGAGACCTGGGGTATACCATCAGATGAATTTAACTAATGCTCAAGTCCCATTAAATAATATTTCCATTTACTTGTAATGTGTTGTGAAGAATCTTCTACTGTGTTCGATTTGCTTTTATGACAAGCTGTGTGAAGCACTGAACTGCTATCAGACTAGTTTGGGAAGCTGGTCTAGAGGGACCTGGAGAGTCTGCAGAGCCTTCTCACATCTAAAAGATCTGAGGAGCTGAGTGTGTGTCTGCAAAGCCTGGGGCATGTGTCAAGAAGCTAGGCAGAATCTTCATACCGCATAGGGTTTGGGAATCTGTGGGTCTGTGTAGTCAGCACAGTCTTGATTAAGTTCCTGTTATGTGACAGACACTGTTCCACGTAGCTTGTGCTTCCCCCCGGAGGTGCTGGAGAGCAGCTCCAGGGCTGGGAACTGTCCACAGGGGAGGCAAGACATGTCTACGGGAGTTAGAGAAGGAGCTGCAGGCTCTTAGCAGGGAGGCTGCATGCGAGAGCGCTGGTAATAGCTTGAGAATCTATGGTATGAGGGAGACCAGGATGGAGATCTTTTTCTTGCAGGTGTGCAATTGGGATGTGGAGGAGACAGAAGTAGGAGAAACCTGGGTGTTAAAGGCTAATGATAATTACTGTTACTCTGTGTAGAGTGCTTGAACTGTGTTAACTCTGTGTCGAAGTCGGTCTCCTTTCAAGTCTCAGCTTTTCTCTGAGTTAGATACTCTGTGCCCATTTCTAGTTAAGTACACGTAGTTGGGGGTTGGGTTTTGAAGCTTTTCAGGGACGGTGGGACTAGATAGCTGTTTTCAGAGTAAGAGATCTGACAGTTGCAGGGAAGTCTACAGCTGAAATATTCATATTTTCTGAAGCCCTAATCAAGACATCCCTCAGTCCGAAGACTGATCTTTCAACTTCTGTATAATCAAGAATTCCTTTGGCAAAGCCCTCAGTCACGCTTCCATAGGACGTGCAGATAGATGATAGGAGGAAACTCCTGGTGGCGTCTGGTGGACAGCATTTGAAATTAGTGTTTCCATTTTCAAAACGTACTGGTTTTGTAGATCATTCTATCACAGTTCTATTTTATCTTCCTTATATAAATACATTTTGCTGGGGCCCTCACCACCGAGGAAAATCAATGCTTTAGGAAGTTGTGTTGTGTTTAAGGCACACCCAGCACCCTGGCACGCATCTCAGTTGGGGAAAGGTGGGTTTTGTGAGACTGTGAGACACAGTGTTTGAAATCACAACTCAACAGAAAAATGTCTTGACATTGGGTTGGCCACCGTGAAAGCGGGCTGCCATAGAGTCTTAAAGTTTGGTTGTGAGGGCAGCTGTAGGAACCGGGAAATGGGGTTTTGAAATTGACTCAGAAGGCCTCCCTTTGACAGAGGAAGCAACTGGAATTTAGACAAGGGAAGAGAATTGCTCTGGTCTTTCTCGTGTCTGCGCTGGGCCTAGTACTTGCCCAGGGACTGAGATGAGGTGGAGGGGAGGAAGGATGCTTTGGAGGCCCTCGAGGTCTTCATGGCCATCTCTCCTTCCACCACCTAACAGCACTGTGCCCTGCCCACTGGCCTCTACTCCACACTCTCACCCCTCCACCACCAGGTGACCATGGAGGAAGAAGATGAGTCTCGAGGGAAGACAGAGGAGTCAGGCGAGGATCGGGGTGACGGTCCGCCAGACAGAGACCCTACGCTTTCTCCTTCTGCTTTTATCTTGGTGAGGCTGCTAGACCCCTGGGGCTGAGGGAGGGAAGAGCCCGGAGTCCAGATTCCAGGACCCTGATTCCTAGACCCCACGGGAGGGGAGTTGGGGGCCTGGATTCTTGGCCCGTCTGTAGGATTTTAGTCTTGTCATAGGAGGGGTCTGGACTCTGTCTTCTAGCAGTAGAGCCTGTGGCCTTTTGCATGAGTCCCCTAACTGCTGTTTCTTTCCACCCCCTCTGCCCTCACCTTTCTTTCAGCGAGCCATTCAGCAGGCTGTGGGAAGTTCCCTGCAGGGGGATCTGCCAAAGGATAAAGGTATGTTGGTTCTAGTTCCTCCCAGCTCCCTGCCCTATCTCTGCATTCTTTCTCCTAATCTCATTCAGATACTTTTCTGAGGCCTCCTGGGTGCCACCCTTGTCCTGGCACAGGGAGTCCAAGATGGGTTGGACTCCATGGCTGCCTTGGAGGGGCTCACAGTTTTGTGGAGGGGCTACAGTCCCAGCACGGAGGTACCCTGAGGCACCATGAGAGGGCAAGGGGCCGAGCTAAGCTAGTTTGGAGGGAGATGGAGTCCAGGAAGGCTTCCTGGAGGAGGTGACAGGTGGACTGTGTCTCTAAGGATGTGTTAGAGTTGTCTGATAAAGAGGAAGGCCTGGTAGGCAGGGGCAGCACCAGCAGGAGCACTGCACAGGGATACATTGCGGGGCTGAGTTGTTCTTTGGGGCCTAAGGGCAGAGGGTGTTGGTGGGAAGGGAAGCAGCATTGCTCCGTGGGGACTGGGTCACAGCAAGGCTCAAATGCCAAGCTGACTTTTCTGGACTTCATCCTGAGGGTGCCTGGGAGGACAAATGGATGAGAGAGTTGGAGCCTGAAAAGGGTGTTGGGGAAGTCCTTCTGGGACCCAAGTCGAGGGGCAGTTGGCTAGGGGCCGGGACAGTAGGCAGGAGCCTGGTTCCCTGTCAAGATCTAGGCAGGCTCCTTTTTCCTCTGCCCTACGACATCTCTGCATCTAGTGCCTGGTCTCCATCTCCCATGCAACATCTCTTTCCAGATGGTTCTCGGTGTCGTGGCCTTCGATGGAGGCGCTGCCGGAGCCCACGGTCAGAGTCCCGTTCCCAGGAATCAGGGGGTGCTGACACGGCTACTGTGAGTAAGAAGAGGGGGCAAGGGACCTGGGCTTCTGGGGCTGGGGGAAGAAGGTCATTGGGGCCTGGATTCCTGAGGGGGTGAGATGGGGATGGGGACCCAGATACCTGGGTCTGGGGTGCTGATCAGGGGCAGCAATGGAGGGTCTTAGCCTTGGGGTCTGGAAGTAGCCAGGATGAGGGAATTGGTTGGACCTTTGTGTTTTCTTAGGGTCTCATGTCTGGGTTAATGAAAGGTCAAGGTCTGGGGAAATGGGATTTGTGGGTCCTCACATGAGCAGAGACAGTGTGGAGCCCCTCTTGGTCTATTCCAGGTGTTGGACGTGGCTGCGGACGGCCTCCTCACAGGGCTGGTGAGCATCCTGGATCCCCCAGATACCTGGGTTCCCAGCCACCTGGACCTGCGGCCTGGCGAGTAAGTATTTGAGCAGCTGGGGTGGGAGAGGCCCCCAACATGGGAGGTGGAAGTTCCTCTGAGGCTTAATCACCCCTTTTGTCTTGCAGGAGCGAGGACATGCTGGAGCTGGTGGCCGAGGTCCGAATTGGGGATAGGGATCCGATCCCTCTTCCCGTGCCCAGCCTGCTGCCCCGTCTCAGGGCCTGGAGGACGGGCAAAACAGGTATGTGGGGCCGGGGTGTAGCTGGGCAGTCGGCCAGCCTCGGTGTTGTGTGAGCATCTGCCGTAGTTGGTAGTAATGGTAGTGATGATGATGTCATTTAGACAAAATCTTTACTGCAACGTGTTTCCTAGTGGACTGCAGTAAAGGCTGTTGGTACCTGCAGATGTACATAAAGTAAAAACTGACACGAGAGCTACCATATGGGAGCCGTGGTTAGCACGTGGGAGGCACTCCGCATCCTGGCCTCTCCATATCAGTGTAACTGCGCTGGGAAGTCATCTCCCTGGGAGGGGGAATCTTAGCATCTCCAACTCTAGGAGAAGAAAAGTCTGAAAGGAAAGTCACTTGCTCAAGGTGGCACAGCCAGTTGCTTAGTGGTGGTCCTGAGCCCCAAGCCTGGGGCCTTCTGTGTGTGAAGCCCAGGTTTTTGATTCTGCGACGTGCATCTGCCCTAGTGATGGTCCGCTCCCACACCCTGCCTGTACCCTGCACATGGTCGTGTGCCCTTGAGCAGCAGGGAGCAGAGGGTCTCAAACTTGAGTAGGCATCACAGGTCCTGTTAATACACAGATTGCCAGGCCCACCCCCAGGGTTTCTGATTCAGCAGGTCTGTGGTTGGGCCTAGGAATGTGCATTTCTAACTAAGTCTCGGTGGTGCTGCTGCTGGTTCCCTGGGACCCTGGATTGAGACTTTCCTTCTGTGTGTACATACATACGTATCCGAGGAGGGGCAGAGAGGAGAGGAACATATAGCAGTAGGTCAGCTGCGAGCACCTGTTCTTTTCTTTGTTTGGGGGGTGGATAAATTAGGTTTATTCATTTTTTTTTTGAGGTACTGGGGATTGAACCCAGAACCTTGTGCATGCTAAGCACATGCTCTACCACTTGAGCTATACCCTCCTCCTGAAGCACCTGTTCTGCCACAGAACATGGCTTGCACAACCTCTGAGCCAGTGCACGGTTTTCTTGTCTTTTTTTTTTAATCCCCACACAGATGCGGGTGACTTACGTATCCAATAGGCTTAGGGCCCACCACACTCTAAGGAGCCCACAAAGTATTTTCATTTTTTTTTTTGAATCAGAGGCCGTAGGGGATACATTAATGAGTGGGTGGGATAGTGTTCCAATGAAACTATTTACAAAAGCAGTAGGTGTGTGGAATTTGGCCCCTAGGCCTTAAGTGATATATGCAGGTGGTCTCTGGCACCTAATGGTTGTCTTCAGTGGGACTCCGCGGTTACATTTTTTCTTATTCCAAGTGTTGTTTGGTCTTCATTGGAAAATATTAAGAACACAGGAAAAAGGAAAGAAAACTCACCCATAGTCTTGTCCCTCATGAACAAGCTATGTATAAAGAAGCAGATGTTTCTTGTTTCCAGACCCCTCCAGTCCGCAGACTGGTTTATGCTTCAGGTGGTAGTAGTAACAGCTGAGGAGTCAGAGCTTGTACTCACCCAGGCCTCAAGGTGCCAGGCTCCGTCTGTTCTTTCCAAGCAGGTGCTCATCCAGTCCTCTCAGCCCCCTGAGGTCTGGATGCTGTCATCCTCATCGTCCTCATCCCCTGCCTTGTATTCCTCCAGAGCCATCAGCGGCTCCCAGACTTTGTGCAGGGCTTGTTGATATTTGTCTGTCCTCACTTGAACGTGAGCTCCTGGAAGGCAGGGAGTTTTGTCTTTTGTTCACTGTTCTGGTTTAGTACCCCATAGTGCACCTGTTAGACTAGTGATCAGAGAAAATGTGTTGTGTGAATGAGCAGACGCCCATTTTGTTGATGAGGAAACTGAGGCAGACAGTGGTTGAGTTCCTTGCTCTTGGGCTCATTGAGGGTGAGGGCCAGAGCCTGGAATCTGGAAGGTGAGGTGGCTCGGGCTCTGCCCTCTCGACCCCAGGCCTCTCCAGCACTGTCCACGCAACCTTGCTGGCGTCCTTGCTGTGGCTGGACACGTTACATGTGGTTGAGAGAGTGGCCTCTGGACTCTGATGTGTATGTCTGAACCCTGGCCCCGTCACCTGCCCCAGGTGCAGCCCCAGTCAGTTGTCTCCTTTTTGTGACTTGTAGCACTGAGACCGTGTAGCACTTAGAAAGCCAGGACTTCGGAGGGTGGACAAGGTGATGGAGGAGAAGATGAGGCCTGGCCCGTAGGAAGGGGCAAATGCTAGTTGATGCCTTCACTGGTCAGTGACGTCTGAGTCCTGAGCAGATGTCTCCCCTTAGATGGGCTCATCACAGAGTGACAAGGGTGCAGTGAGCTCTTCCTGACTCTGCAGAGGGGATTTCACCTTCTCAGCCTCCCATTATTCCCCATGTACAAAGTGATCAAGTCCCACAGAGGCAGCCGGCACAGCAGGCGGGGCTTGACCTTGCCACCGTCCTGGGTTAGAGCCCAGGCTCTGCTGTCCCAGCCTGTGCCTCCTGTGGTACCATCGCTGCTGTCATTGGTCAGAGCAGTCTTGGGCTGCAGGCCAGCCTACGTCTCAGGATTTGAGAGGGCAGGCTTGGGAGCTACATTGACCGAGTTTGCACCCTGACTTCCCCTTGTCGACTGTGCCCCAGGGGAAGCTACTGCAGCTCCCTGTGCCTCAGTTTTCTCTGGGAAGCCTGGGTCACAGTACCTATATATCATGGAGTTGTTAAGCTCATTCTTCGGGTTGAGATATGGTGCGGTGAGCACTAAGCGATGGGGGGCCAGCAGATGGGGTGCTGTCCTGCCTGTGGCCCCCTCCTATACAACCTGGATGGGCATCTGACCGCTGCTCTGTCTCTGCTTTTCCTTTGCAGTTTCTCCACAGTCTCACTCTTCTCGACCTACCTGTGCCCGCCACCTCCTCACCTTAGGCACCGGAGACGGGGGCCCTGCCCCACCCCCTGCCCCCTCCTCTGCATCCTCCTCGCCTTCCCCTTCCCCCTCATCATCCTCCCCTTCCCCGCCTCCCCCACCACCACCGCCGGCTCCTCCAGCCCCTCCGGCCCCCAGGTTTGATATCTATGACCCCTTCCACCCCACCGACGAGGCCTATTCCCCACCGCCAGCTCCGGAGCAGAAGTACGACCCCTTTGAGCCCACTGGCTCCAACCCTAGCTCATCAGCGGGGACCCCCTCACCTGAGGAGGAGGAAGAAGAAGAA